CCGGAGTTAAACCACGACACATGGAAATAAAGTTACGGAGCACTGTTAGTCCAGAACTGTGAGATTTTACATTCTTCCACCCAACTCCTGTGTTAGGAAAGCCTACCTGAAGGAGGGATATATTCCTCCTCTGTGACTGTCCATGCGTCACGTGCAGCCACTGAGCTGGTTCCTACAGCAGCACTGGTAATAGCTTCACCAACAGTGAACTGTAGTTCTATTTGTTTGGCCTGAAAAACACAACAGAGCCTCACTGACAGTACTAATTAAACACACACCAAACCTTTTGACACCTACTCCACAAAACCACAGCCTCTCTACCAATGCCAGTTCTCAGTAATATCAGTCTTTTGGTGAGCTTCTGAGGCTATGTGACACCTCGGACCCACTGAAATGGATGGAAACCAAGGCGATGTCAAACTCTCCAAAATGAATGACAAGAGCTAAAATTTCCACCCTTTGTTTTAAAGCGTGCCTCCTACAAAGGATTTGCTAGTGTCAGCTGTTCAACTTAGTGAACAGAATGCAGCAGAGAGACAGGATCAAAACAGAACAAAACAAGACTGCTAGTCATAGTACTGAGAATTACCATGGCTTTGTTGCCGTGTGCAGTAGTAAAAGATTCTTCTGTAATTCCATCCCGAAGTCTATAATCTCTTAAGAGATGTGCAAATTTGTTTTTCACATTAAAAGAATTCAGACAATACTTTGCTTTGCTCCTCTGCCCTCCCTTCCACTATTCTCTATGCTCTCAAGAACAGTATGTGCATAACTCTGCCACGTTTTTGTCACTATTTATGATGAATCTGGAGTCCTAAGAACTGATTTACACACCTGCTGAGTACCTTCGAGACTGTTTTCCTTACTCTCTGGAAGCACAAAATGCTCTGCCATTTGAAGAGGTAAGCCCTTAGCTTCCTGCAATCTAAGATAAATCGTTTTTCTTCAAGTACATGTTTTACAAAGGAAGTTCTAACATCCCCTAAGTAGTTACAGTAGATAAACATGGCACGTAGTAACATCATTTTATGTTTGTGTACACAGTCTTCTTACTATTCTTGCTTGTTTGATCACATCAGACTGAAGGACTCAGAAAAGCCTGCCTGATAGCCAATAGAGCATCTACAATGCTGAATCCTATGTCAGTACGAACAAGGAAGAAAGGTAAAACAAGCTGTGAATGAACAAAACCAAGAACACTGCCTATTTAATTTTACTGTCTGGCATATTGCAGTACGTATAGCAGCTGTGAAGTACTTACTCCAGACGAATGCAGTGAACTACACTGAGCATTTAGACTGACAATCCTACAAAACCCACTTTTAATTCAGGTTGAGTCACAACAGCTGATGTAGTTCAAATGAAAAATAGAGATGTATTTGTATTACCTACTTTCAGGGTACTTTTGAAGGCCAAAATACAGACCTATGGCTTCATTACTACAAGTTCTTAAGATTTCACATATACTGATAGTCTTCCTGAAGGGGAACACAACTTTGTCTCAGAGGCTAGGGCAGAGACCTTGACTGGCAAATTTTTAAACTGTGGTATAAAACAGTTTAGAAGCCCCAAACCCAACTCTGCTCTCTATTTCACGGCAGCATTAAAAAACCCAGAGGCACTATTACAGAATGTCATCTCCCCTTGTAAACCTGGCTACAGAGATATAAAAAGCATCCAAATAGAAATACTCTCTGCAGTACAAAGAATAATATATTGATAGTGCCTCACCTCCACAGAATCCATTAAACCCTGCAACAGTAGCTTCTGGTGGGGAAAATCTTCATCTCCCACTGGGAAGTAACCTAATGTTTGTATTGCTCGTTCCTTCATCTTAAATACAAAGAAAAAAACAGCACCATCACATAACCTTCCAGTAAGTCCAAAAGATACACTTTAAACCCACTCTTTCTCACCCTTCCTGAAGTTTCACTTAAGGTACCAGATTCAGAAACGCAAGTGACTTATTTGATCAAACAGTGCACCTCTTCCAAAACACTGATCAAAAGAAATGCCCTGTTACCTCTGAGGATTACTTCCAGGTAAAAGAAGATATTCCCATTTTTCTGAATTAAAGTTATGACCATTCTTAGTTTTCATCCCTTGAACTCCTACTTATAACTACAGAAAGCACAAGCATTCAACTGCTAGACCACAATGGAAAAACCCTTAGCCTAACTCTGACTCAGTAGAGCCAATGACAGGTTTAATTCCTTTAAAAAACAAGGCTGAGTTTGGCAGGTAATACCTAAACCTGGGGACGGAGCATTCCCGAAATGAACAGGAATCGTAAGACTAAAAATCTTGCCTTATTTGTTTCCTTGCTGGAAGGGATTCGGGCCAATAAGCTTTCAACAAGTTGCAGCTTTGTAAATCCTGTTCCTTCGCTGGGGATTGGCAAGGGACCATTCCTGCCAATCTCCCCGAGAGCTGTACAAGCAGCCACCATGAGGAAGGGAGAGGTGCTGTCCAGGAAAGAACCTACAGGAAATAGCAAAACAGGATGACTTGGATTTTGTATTATTATTTAGCAGTGAGCAAGCAGGCACTTATATTTCACCCATGCAAGAAGCAAAGTGTTTAACTCCTCAAGAGATGGCAGGAAGCGTTATGCTGGAACAAAAAAATAACCAACCAACCAACCAACCACAACAACAACAACAAAAATCAGTGAAAGGAGACACTGAGAGGATTCTAGAGAGTGGCACCGCTCCTAATTGTGCTATGTTGGTCTATGAGCTCAGGGTCCACCTAATTTGTGTTGAAAAGGGCTACGTCCATGCGTCTAACCAGATGACACTTACAGGCTGTAAACTGTACCACAGAAAGTGAACTCAAGATTACAGTATCTGTGGGCTGAATATCTCAGAAAACCCCCAGCATGGGTTGTTGAAAAAAACCCGACCATTACATGCAGCAAAGTCTTAGGCAGGAAGTTACCTATTGTCTCCGTCGTTGACTTTATGAGCTGTTCTTGTTCAGGCATGACTGCAGTGTTCGGCTGTTCTATGTCATGGAGCTCCATTGTTTTGATTTTCCCTTTGGCCAAGTACCTTCCTACTGTAAATCCCAAAGCCAACAAGGATCCATGTTGGACCTCCGGGCTCTACAGACAACACCAACAGTGCAGAAGATCTCATTTTCAAGATAAGTACCACTTTGCACAAAGCACTGATTCAAAGACACACACGGACAAGTCAGATGAGAAGGCACACTGTGGAATGCAGCGTTCCAACACATAATGCAACAAGAGACTTCGGCATTTCTAGCGCTCTCCGATGGATGGAGTCCCTCAGGATAAATTAACAAAACCTAGAAGAGGCTTAGGAGGGCGGATTAAGAATTTATCACCAGCACTCACATTCCTAAAGTCTACCCCCTGGTAGCTAGGCAAAAGAAAATTTAAAAACCCAATGCATCTGATTGGTAAGTACAGACTTATGAAGGTGAACTAAGATAATACTATCCTGTCTCTGCCTAAAAACTGGGCATACTCAGATTAAGGGGGCAAAACCCACTCTTTGGTAGAAAGCAGTAAAGGGGAATTACTCTAGATTTGCATTGCTAAGAATGAGAATGTTCTTGGCCTACAAACACTGAAAGCGGTGCCTCTACACAGTTCAGTAAGTCACAGGCTGTGAAAACTAATTACTACAATTACATGCCAAGAACTTTAATTTGTCCAGCACTGATCTGGCACCGAGACGATCTAATGGGGTATTCATTCCCACAGGTGAATCCTAATGGAAGGATTTTGTGCAGAAATAAGGCTGAGACACTTAAATGTTACCTCCATTAAAAAAAAAAAAAAGAAGGGGACAGGGTCTTAAACTCAGATCAGTTCACGTACCTGATTTTTATCACAACCTTACAAGAAGTTTCATCAGCGCAACTGTGCTGCCAGGACGTGACCCCCAACTGAGCCTGGCTCCCCGGGACTGCTCCTTGCTGTGGCCTCACAGCAGCAAAGGCGGCCGAAGATGGGTCCAGCCCTCCCCGCCACTTCAGTGACCCTGGGCTGCAGTCCCCATGGTGACACTGAGACCACCACCGCCCCTGGCAGTACAGATTCACTGCTTTTGCACACTCGCAGCAAACTAGAGCTCTCACTGACCCAGACTCAAAAATGCATTTGGGTTTGCACTTCATGTTTCGTGGTTCACATCCCTCTTTACTTTTAGCTGGGTTCCGCGAAAGCTCGACGGGGGCAGAGAGCAGCGGTGCAGGGCTGGGACCCCTCTGTGCTGGTTTCGTGGCTGCAGAAGCTGTGCCCTGCGTACAGACACGGCTTTGGCTCACCCACACAACTATCACTGATTGCAAATAAACCATGTTTGTTAATTACGGCACAAAGCGCCCCTAAAATGGTGGCCCATTAAGTCCTCCAGAGACTGACACAAAAACCTCTTGGGGAAACATAACCTAAAAATCCTACTGTTTTGCTACCCTTTCAGGCTTCAAGACACTCCAGCACAGAGACACATCGGATTTGTTTTTTTCGGGCCTCCTTCTCCACGCTGGCAGTGGCAAAATGCAGAGGAAACGGTAACGGGAGGGGGAAGGAGCTGCAGAAGGGAAGGCAGGCAAACCCACCCTGCAACGCTATGGTGGTGGGGGGCTGCTGAGCCCTCGGTGGCGGGTGGGAGGGAAGAGGCCAGCCCTCCCCCAGCAAAGGCTGCTGTCGGGACAACACCCTGAGGCTGCTACGGCTCAGGAGGGGAGAGGAAGCGAAACATTTTCTTAGTTCCGCCAGGTCCTTGCAGTTGCTCACAAATAAGGAATTGATAAAGTGTTAGAGGAAAGTAGTATGACCCATTTCCACAAAATGGGACAAAGAATATTTAGCTGGTTAAATACCTGATGGCTTTGCTTGGGAAGTTCCTCCAGGAAACCCTCCTACTGACCTTAACAGTAGCTTCGGGGATTAATTTATTTAAATCTGTTGCACTCACCTACAGCAAAAATCCCTTCTCACCATCCAACTGGAAATCAGCTAGTTAATTTTATGCTAAGATTAAGGTTAACACATCCTGGACACACTGTGAGATTCAGATTTCCTATCAGTTACAGGACACACCAGAAAACAAGCAGCAAAGGAAGGTAGTTACATGATTGTCTTTTGTCATCTTGATCAGCTGCTCCAAGGAGGCCCTGAGCTCATCTCCAGACATAACAGACAGCACTACAGAATAAAACAGGGCTGCGAGCTCACGCATTTCTTCCTTGTTCGTGTTCATCAGGCTCTGCGGGAGTTTTCAAAAAGAAACTTAAAATATGGAAGCAGCCTCTTACACAGCCAGTTCATACAGAGACTCAACATACAAACACAGTCCTCATGCAGCTACATAAAGAGTACTTAACTCAGGAACCACTCTTTAAACCAACAGCATTATCATTCAGTCAGAAACAGAGCACTCAATTCAGCAAAGCATTCATTACACACTCAGCGTTTAGGAGGAAGATTACCACTACCTACAAATGGGCTACCCACTGGTTCTGCAGTAAACATGCTGATTGAATGCTTGGCTACCACATTTTGCATCCATAATGAGCTACAATATCCCTAAAGATACTATTTTTCCTGAGCTACTGCAAGCTTCCATTTTCTTTTTATTAATTAAAGGGAAAAAATCCACCCCCAAGAGGTTAAACCAGTTAAATCCAATGGTGACAAAAATTAAGTGTCCAGGAAATCAGAGTTCTCAGTGCAAATTTATCAACCTTGTATTAGAGATCTTGCATCATCTAAATTGTTAAAAAGTTGAATTTGGGAAGTCTCAGGTCATTTGTTAAGATAAAATCTTACTTCTGCCATTAATTTGACGTATAACGCAACACAGTCAGAAAAATTCACATGCAAAGCTCTGGCTTGGGCCACCACAAAGAAGGCAAAAATGAGACAAGTGAGAAAACAAGAAATTAAATCCTCGGGCTCATGAAACATAACTCTACCTTCAGCTCAAAACTTGCATCAGATCACATAGCTGACTTCTAACAAACCACTGGACCTGTTCCTTCCACTTGGCAAAGCAAATTCACATAAAGGATGACTTACAACAGTATTTCTGGAACTAGGTAGTATCAGTTACCACCCTTAGAAGCTTAATCTTGCAAACGAACACCAGGCCAAAAAAAAAAGGGTTTTTTTTTCTGCAAATTATGAGGAATACTGAAAATGAGAATGTTTTTAAGTCCCCTCCTTCAGTGTTCACACCTGCACTTAAATGGGATGTGCAGTGCAGCATGATATCAGCAGGAGAAATTATTAGAACACCTTCTATTTTTCTTTAACTCAAAGTATTTTTTTCTGCCAGATTCCCCCGGTGAAAGCAAAGGCAACCTGTAAGAGCTCAGCAAGTCCTGGATGCTTGAGGCCAATCATGAAGAAGCAGAAAGTTGCTTGAGAAAAGAATCTAGGGAAAGCAGAATTCTCTCTGGTCAAGCAGGCCTCAGTTGATCTGTGTTGGTTTTTTTGTTTTGTTTGAGGCTAACACAAAAGAAGATAATTCAAAAACCTCCACAGAATGTGCTCTAAAACAATTAAGAGATCTAATTCATCTCATTTTCCAAGATGCCGCTCCCATTTTCCCAGTGGGACATTCCCATTGTTAAACAGTTCCTTCTAAAATTTGCAGAATTTTGTTTTCAATTTTCTTTTGCTGTTCAATGCATCTCTTGACCAAGGGGAAAAACTGACTGACTATACCAACAGCATCAATGACAGGGGTTACCCAGAACATGTAGGTCAATGAACAAAATCAGTAACACCGGAGAACTAAACCTTCCCCATACAACGCCTCATGGGGTGTTGACTGCATGTAGATATACCAGATTTCAGATTAAGCGCGTTCTTGGAAATAATACTCCATTCCACCATGGGAAAATGTCAGGTTTTGCTGATGCCAACTCCCTTCCACCCTCTCCACCCAAAAAAATACCGAAAAAGAAGGGCTTTCAATGTACCTTTATCCAATCCATTTTGTCCACAAATCTGGTGGCTAGTTTTTCTGGATACACTGAAACAACTTCTAGAAGACAATACATGACTGGCAAACCTAAACAGTAATTAAAGAATCAGGTTATTAAACAACTGCAGTATTTACAACAGCCAGTGATAAGAAGAGGTTAAGAAGTACCAGGCATCTCAAAGCACTCACATGCAATTCACTAGTGAGAGATAACACACACTATAGAATAATCACGTACAGTATTTCTCAGAAATATCAGGGAAATGAAATTCTGGTAGCAATTTGTTCTACAGGCATTCAAGTGCTTTAAGACTACACTTGTCACAAATACGATAATGAGAGTGAGGAAGACACAGCATTCAGTGGCGAGGAAGCTGTTACAGACAACAGCCTCACAGTTCTGATGCATTATGTCAACCCAGGCTGCAGTTTTCCTGTCCTGCTTTCTCCCACCTACACAGCAGCACAGAGGAGAACAAGCTTAAAAATGAAGAGTATATGGTCCGTGTTGCAACTCTGCGATTGCTGTAGCCATGTTCAAAGCACTGGGGGGGTGAAAACTCATTCCTAGTAAGAGAAGACCTTTCTTTCCTCAAGATCCTGCTGCGCACTGCTTCTCACCTCCAACACCAGCTAGCAGCTGCTGAAGAAGGCCAATATATATATGCACAGGGTTGGTTTCTGCACTTTTTGACGAGGAGGATGAAGAGAAAGATATGTGGTTGCCAGACATAAGGTTTCTTATGTAACGTCCAATGGCTGGAGCGTGATCCTGCATATCTGCTAAGCTCTGTGACGTTGGCACCACACCCGCACTGTGAGCAAGACACATCCGCAGATACAGAACTATCTAAACAGGGAGGAGAAAAAACACATGGTAGTGAGTGCATGAGCATTTGGAAAACCGTGGAAGAGCAAGGAATACGCTGTATTTAGCGTAACCAAAACAATACATTTTCTTCTTTACTCAAATCTGGGCAGAAGAGACAGGAACTAACAGAAGTGTAACAAATGTTAGGACCAGTTTCTGCAACATGCCCGTGTAAGCAGACAACTCTACACCACCCTCAAAACACTTAATCATACAGGCTTCTGGTTTACATCCTGGCAGGCAGTCAAGCCTGCACCCTGTACCAACCAGGCATGCACACAATGCAACCCAACACACTGCCAATACAGAGCTTGCATCACATCTAAGTTTGCGGCTACGGAGCAGTGGAGCCAGGGAATCCGTGATGGAAAGAACAGCCTCAAGGAGAGCAAAGGGACTTCTGCACAGGATTGCCAGTTTCTCCCTCTGCAAAGCTATGGCATTCGGTATGCTGCAGAGAGCAGCGGAGCAGCCCTCTGGAACATTCCTCCACCCCCCC